GCGGATAAAAATCCGCAGGTGAGAAAACTAGGTTTTTGGTGAAGAAGACGACTAGGTGTCTTCCTCTGATCGGCCAACTTTGAATATTCGCGCTTGTTTTTTTTTTATTTCAGGAATAATGCTTTGTTTTGAATATAATAATTGTCACGTATCCTAATAACAAACAGGCGCATTGGTTGAGTTGGCAAGCAAGTTAGTGTATTGTCTAATGAGACCTGGGTTCGAATCCCAGGTCCCCCAAATTGCTTGTTATATTTTTTCCATAGGTATTCTCATACACCGTCCAAAGCCTGGCTCACCATACGCCCTCGTCCAGATACTTTCCAGATGGCCTTCTGGCCAAATCCAATGGCCAAGATTGCAAGTCCATCATAAGACTTGGTAAATGCATGCGCGTGAGATCCTGGAAAGTCAAAGCAGGCTGGCTTGATTTGGGCCTCAGAATTGCAGATTTCACCCCCTTTCCAGGCCCAGCACCCCATTGGTTTATTCCTTTTCTTTTATATTTCTTATTATTTATTTGATTTTAGTTATTATTTTTATTGTTTTAATCAACCAATTAAAAATCATTTTTCTTAATAAAATCAAAACCACAAAAATATTATTTTCATTAATTTCATTATTTTATTTTTGTAAATAAATATTAATTAATTAACTTAGTTTTAAATAGGTTTAACATTAATATTTTTGCATTAAATTAAAATCAATTTAGAATATTAGGTTTTTATTAATATTAATCCATTTTATTTTATTTCCTTAAATATTCAAAAACCCAAAAATATTTTCATTAATTAATTAATTCAATTATTAACTTAGATTTAATTTCATTTAATTCAAAAAATAAACAAAAATGCTTTCTTTCAAACAAAAGGGTCAAAACCCTAAAAATGCGCCGATTTAATTTTCTCGCACGCGATCCACATTTCTAATATTGTAATTGCTTCCGGTATGTAATAGCTTTTAATTAGGACTTTAATTATTTATCGCTTTATTTTACTTTCCGCAATTTAAATTAAAGGGTTTGTTTTTTTTTGGCGATGTAAATACCCGACGCCCTGTAATAGTTTAGATTTAATTTCCGCAAATTTAATTTCCGCAACTATAAACTGTTAGATGTTTGATAATAGGGAATGCATGACAAGATCAAATGTATGAACTTAAAATCAACGTAGCTCACCCATAACATGTACAAAGATAAATAACTGAAAAACAATACACTCGCACATGCGCACTCTTAGGGTACACCTCACTTGGTTGCCTTCGAACGTGGTCATTGAGTATAGGAAATTTTAGAGGTCGTCCTCTTGTCCAAAGATCATAAGTTGTCTCGAAACGGTTGCCTCGGAAAAATGATCTAAGACATTAGGGTTACTGCTAAAGCATCCTAACATTGCTTTAGTGACCACACGTCCCTTAATCGAATTGACCCGAAAACTCCAACGACGATGCTACCTACTCTAAAGGACATTTGCACAGTTTAATTCCCTTTTCGAGTAGGTAGATGGTTCTTAAGTACTTGCTCCTTTTAAAACAAAACAAAACTTTTCGCACTTACACTCCTTTCAAACACAAACTCTTTTCAAACCCACAAACACAAAAAAAAAGCAAACTTTTGAAAACACAATGAGCAAGTACCTAAGATCCCGTGGATAACCATGGATAGAAAGGGTGCTAACACCTTCCCTTTATATAATCTACCTCCCGAACCCGAGAAACATCTCGAAAAAGGAATTTTTCTGTGCTTTTGTCCTTTCCTTGTTGGATAAAATAAAAGACGGTGGAGACTCTTGCTCATCGCGACATTTTGCAAAAACAAACGCAAAACGTGAACCAGCATTCCAAAACAGTCAGTTCTCTTCCCACCGTATCAGATTTATCCTTAGAGAAATCAAGATAGGGCCGAACGTCATCCAATGGTGGGGGCTGTTATGATTCCTAAACTTGCGCCTGATCAGCAAAGAAACAACCAACCAAGAATGGAAAGACCAGTCAGACAATTCACCAGAATTAATATGACACTATCTCAAGTATTGCAACATCTGTTAAGATCCAATCCGGTGACCTTGAAAGAAGCTCTAAAGAACCGTAACACAACATATCCTCACTATCATCCTAATGCCCGTTGTGCATACCATTCTGAGAGTCCCGACTATGAAACTAACAACTGTTGGGATTTAAAGAACAAAGTATAAGACCTCATTGAAGCCAAAGAGATTGAATTCGATATGCCAGAAAAGCCCAATGTCATTTCTGCCCCGATGCCCAAACATGGCCATAATGCCCATGCTATTGAGGAAGATATGTTTGTTACTTCAGTTGATGAACTTATGACCTCACTCCTGACTATCAAAAAGAACTTATTGAATGTCAGTGTTTTCCCAGGCTGTGATGAAAGCTGTCATTTTTGTTTGTCCTCACCAACCAGTTGTCCCTTATTGAAAGCAGGCGTTCAGTGCCTAATAGATAACAAGGTGATTTTGTTCGAAAAGACTTTTGTTCCACCTGTTTCTTATAATGATGTTTCCATTGTGACCATTTCCGACAATTCTTCCAAGGTCTCCACCAAAAGACCCGTTAGAATTACATCAGTTCCAAAAGTAGCTCCTTTAATAATTACAATGCATGGACCAGTCCCGTATTTGTCAGGAAAAACCATACCATGGAATTATGGAGGGGACGTCTATTACCACGGTATCAAGCAAGATTGGCCAGCTGCCGAAGATTCAAGTTCTGAGAAGGATGGCTCCAATATCATTAACATTGCCGGGACTAGCAAGATTACCCAAAGCGGAAGGATATTCTCTCCAGAAATTGCTCCCCCAAAAGCAGTTTCTGGACCCGTAATCATTCCTGTTGTTGTTGCTCCTCCGAAGGCTATTCCCAGTCCCAAAATCATCTCCACCAATGCTCCAACTGACAAAGCTGTTACAATCCCTGCTATCACTCCTACTAACATTCATGCTGCCGAGTTCAGCGAGACTCGACGTAAAAGTATTATGATTAAGCCTGTCCGGACAAAGGAACAATCATTGGCTATCCCTGAGACCTCCCGGAAAGAGATGGAGGAAATTCTAAAGATCATAAAAAGAAGCGACTACGATGTAGTTGAACAACTGGGGAAAACTCCATCCAAAATTTCCATGTTGGCTTTACTACTATGTTCCGAGGCGCATGCAAAGGCCTTGGTAGAATTCTTGAAAACTGCTCATGTACCCCAAGAAACATCTGCCGCTAGTTCCAAGACTGTGTAGCCAGCTTGGCTGCAAATAATGGTCTAGGTTTTTTGGATGTTGATTTAACGCCAAGAGGAAGGAAGAATAATGAGGCATTGCATGTCTCAGTGGAATGTAGGGGCACAACCTTGGCTCATGTTTTGGTGGACACCGGATCGTCTCTGAATGTATTGCCTAAAAAGGCTCTTGATAGGCTTAACTGCGAGGGATTGACATTGAAACCAAGCAATATAGTAGTGAGGGCTTTTGAATGCTCGAAAAGAATGGTGCACGAGGAAGTGGATATCCCCATAAAGGTTGGAATCCAAACATTTGATTCAACTTTTTATGTAATGGATATTTGCCCTTCATACTCCTGCTTGCTAGGACGACCATGGATTCACAATGCTGGCGCTGTTACTTCTACGTTACACCAAATGCTGAAGTATTTGATTCAAGGGAAGATTATCACCGTTCATGGAGAAGAAGAGTATATGATCAGCCATCTCAATTCCTTCAGATATGTGGAGTTAGATGGTGAATTTATTGAAACTCCATTCCAACACTTTGAGGAAGTCCCACAAGATGTGGCAGTAACCAGGGATGTTCCCAAGATCACAAGGCCTCCACTCAAGATGTCATCTTTGAAGGATGCAAAAGTAGTAATAGAAGAAGGTGTGTGCACTATTTGGGGACAACTCTCAGATATCCCATACAAGTCTGACAAGTTTGGCCTAGGTTTCACTTCAGGTGCTCAGAAGACTGTACGCCACGCTCATGCAGGAGGACCATCCCTGAAGATCAGCAACCGTAAAGTCAACACGGTAGAGAATGATGAAGAGGGTTGCAACCTAGAGGATTGGATCTTCCAAACTGTCAGTGGAGGGCTCAACAACTGGGAGGCTAGAGATTTTGTCCCGATCACTTTAATCCCACAGTAATTTGTCTTTACATTTTGTTGGATCTGTAATATTAAAACAATTCAAACTCTTAAAACCTTGTGTCTCACCCGAGGCACAATGGTCCATTTGTAAGGGTTATTATTAGGGGTGTTCGTGGTCCGGTTTGGATCGGTTTTGAGACAAAATATCATCCGATCCAAAAATATATAAAGCATACGGTTTGGTTCGGTTTTTGGATGACAATAAGAAAAATCCAATCCAATCCAATCCAATTTATATGGTTTACTTCGGTTCGGTTGAATCGGTTTTATTCGGTTTTTAAACAAACACTATTTAGAAATTTAAAAAGAATATATTTCAATACCAGTTACAATTATGCCACCAACGTCTACTGAGACAATATCTAATTGCTATGTTCATATGGCTATTTGATGTCATTATTGTAAAGTTTCATTATAATATATGTATAATATCTATCCCAACGAAATAGACATGGCTATAATATATAATACATATGGAGATATGCTTAGTTCTTATATGGAGATTTGTATTATAAATTAAATATATGACAAATATATAAAACAGTGAACAAATGAAGATTCCAAAGGTATATTAAAGCGAATATAATAATAAAACTTCAAGAAAAATATCAATAACAGTGGGCATGCGAAAGTTGCATCACAAGGAATATATAATAATAATATGACAAACTGCATTATATATAGAGAGAAGATCTGCTTTATATATGACAGCATAATTGATAGTTTGAAAATCAGAGCCTACAACATAATTGATAGTCAAATAACAAATTTTCTAATTATCCTGCAATAGCTCCACTCCATCTTCACAATTCTACCCAATTCTTTTAGAATGCGGATATCAACAGCTAATCAGAGTCTATATCAGATACACCTTCATTCAATTGAGGGATTGGAGCAAGTTCTACAAAAATAAAGATAAATATTACTCAATACAAAAGATTAACAATGCTCAACAAAAAATAATATAAGTTATAAGTAAATTACCTAATTCCAAATTTTCTAACTCATCCACAAGCTCTTCAATATCCACCTACACCGGGGAAGATTTACACCAATTTTGTGTACAAATTAAAGCTTCAACTGTTTTTGGCGTAAGAGAGCTTCTATAACAAGTAAGCACTCTTCCTCCGATAGAGAAAGCGGACTCTGAAGCTACAGTAGACACAGGCATGGCCAATATATCTCTAGCCATTTGACCAAGAATAGGATACTTGTTAGAATTCACCTTCCACCAGTTCAAGATATCAAAACCAGGACCTTTCTTCTCCAAATTCTGCATGAGATACAAATCCAATTCATTTTTCTGCATGCTCTCATTAAGATTCATGCCCATCTCAACCTCTAAAGCAAATGCGTCCTCTGGTGCTTTAAGTTATACCAATTCCACTTCTTGAGTGGAATGTGTAAGATTTTCAGTTTGACCGTTACCAAGGAAAAGCCTATAACTCTCAAATATTTTATTTAATGTCTCCTCTGTTTTTTTGTACAAAAATACAGCAACATCATTTGTATATGCCCTGTTCAATCCCCACCTAACAAACTACATCTTATGTCTAGGATCAAGCACAACAGCAACAAAGATCAACATATTGATTTTTTCAACCTTACCCCAATATTTATCATACTTAACTTTCATATTTTCAGCCATAATTCCAAGCAAGTTGTCAGAACTTTTTAATTCTATCCACCCGTTTAATGTAGTCAATATCTTAATATGTTCATTAAAATATTGAGAAGAGGTCACAAAAGTACTACCTGAAACCTTCTTTGTGATATCAAAAAATATTTTCAAAAAATTAACAAAGCATTTTGCATTATCCCAATCCTCTTTATTAGGAATACCATCTTTCATCAGCACAAAATCAGCACACTTCTCACTCAATCTCTTAAATGCCTTTTGAAACTTCAATGCACTTTCAAGCATAATATATGTGGAATTCCACCTAGTGGAAACATCCAACTGAACAATTGATTTTTCTTGTAACCTAACTTCTTTAATGAAAGTTTTAAACCTATCCATACGACCCGGAGATGCACGAACATATCTAACAACATTCCTAATCTTACTAATTGAAGAATGATAGTCTTCTAGTCCATCTTGGACCACAAGATTCAGAATATGTGCATAACAACGAACATGCATATGTTCCCCTTTCAATGGATGAGAATTCCAATCGTTCATTGTATTTTTCAAATAAGTTATAGCAACATCGTTAGAACTAGCATTATCAACCGTAATGGTGAAAACATTACCTATTAGCCATTCCTCCAAACATTTTTCAATTTTTTTGCCGATGGTTACTCCTTTGTGTTTCACAATTGGACAAAAATTCAGAATCCTTTTATGGATTTTCCAATCATGATCAATGAAATGTGCATTGAGACAAAGATAACTCAAATTTTGCACAGATGTCCAACAATCAGTTGTAAGACAAACACATTGATTTAATTTATTTAGCACACTTTTTAACTTATGTTTCTCACTCGTGTATAAAACCCAACAATCTCTAGCAATTGTAATCCTTTTAGGAATTGAGAGTTTAGGTTGCACAACACTCATAAAATGAAGAAACCCCTCCCCCTCAACAAACTTAAAAAGCAACTCATCAACAATAATCATCCTAGCTAAAGCTTTCCTACATGCCTCAACATCAAAATGAACACCAGTGAGAACACTACCAGATCCATTCCCATCTTCTTTTTTCAATTGTTGAAGAACAAGTGTCTGTTGAGTGGGATCAAGAGACTCTTTTGGAAACTTCTTACACTGATGCAACAAATGGTGTTTCAAATTACTAGTGCCATTTCTTTGTGAATCAGCAGCATATGTTACATCACACCAATTACACTTAGCTCTTGATCCTATTTTTGTAAAATGTTCCCAAGTCCAAGATCTAGGTTTAATAGGTTTTCTGTTACCTGAATCTCCAGCTACAACATTAGGATCATTGGATGTGACCAATTTTGAAGCTTCTCCAATCTTTCTTTTCTTATTAGCATTTTCTTCATCATTGTTTGTTTCATTACTTTGTACCAATGGAGGTGGAGCTTCAGTTGTTTCACCCTATAAAATACACATGAAAAAATAAATTTTTGAACATCAACTATAATATTACACCATTGTAACAGTAACCAACATTTCTAAAGGTAAAAATCTCTACTTAAAATTAATTTTTGATACCTGAATAAGGTTGTTAACAATATCAGATTGAGTAATAGGACCAGTTTGGCCCATTCCTGTAAAAATAGACCAAACTTAAAATTAGAACAAAGTATAAACACCTAGTTGTAGAAAAAGCTAATAAAAATATATTATGAAAAAATTATGAAACAAAATATGAAAAACTAACAAAGAACATACATTGAAGAAATTATGAAAAACTAACTAAAATTTGTTACTATTATAACCAAGTAACCAACATGAAACAATTTCACATAAGAAAACTAATGAAAATAATTTTTATTAAGCTACTGTTATAAAATTGAGAACATAAGTAAATTAATTTTAAATAAGCTTTCAACAACACAAATTAGAACAGCTTTACAAAAGGCTAAAAATTTGAATAGCTTTAGAAAATCTGATCGAACAAAACTACAAAGTACAAAAAAGATAAAATCAAACAAATTAAGAAGCTTGCTTACTAATAGTATAATTCAGAAAACTAATTGAGATGAATGTCTATTTAGCATTATTGAATTTCTTGCTTGCGATATTGAATTTCTTGCGGTTACAACAATGAATAGCATTCATTGTATTTAATTTTAAGATAATTTAGAATCTGAATAGGGAAATTATAGGAATGATTGAGATTCTCTAGAGAAATTAGTGTTGGCTAACATAATTAATTTGGGAGGATGGCTATAAATGATTCGATATTAATTTATTTTAAATAATAAATGGCAAGTAAATGGAAGTAATACCGGTTCGGTTTGGACTGGTTCGGTTCTCATGAAGCCAACCGTAAACTGAACCGAACCGGTCGGTTATGCTACATGGTGATCCAAATACATCCAAAAAAATTCGTTTTTTTTTGGATTTCGGTTTTTTCGATTCGGTTTTTGGATTTTTTTTGAATCAGATTGGATCTGAACACCCCTAGTTATTATCTCATTTCCATATGACATGAATGAATCATGGACATTTTGCATACAAACTTTGTGCTCATTGTTTTTCTCTTTTACATTTTTCATTTCTTTCAAAGATGGTTATACCCTTACACACACTCATACTCACAATGCAGGTCTACATCCATTCGGGATCCCATGGATAACAGTTATGCTATGGCCTTATGTGACTCTGAAAATATAATCTACCAAGGCAAAGACGAAGGTGAGGAAGATTGTGAAGTACCAGGGGAACTTGCCAGATTACTACAACAAGAAGAGAGAACCATTCAGCCCCACGAGGAACCCGTGGATACAATAAACCTAGGTACCGAAGAAGACAAAAGAGAGGTCAAGGTGGGTGCCAATATGGAACCCAGTGTCAAGGAGCGGTTGATTCAGTTGTTACACGAGTATGTTGAGGTCTTTTCCTGGTCATATGAAGACATGCTAGGACTTGATGCAGATATTGTGGTACATCGTCTACTTACAAAAGAGGATTTCCCACCGGTAAAACAAAAGGTTCGTCGAATGCGACTAGATATGTCAGAAAAGATTAAAGCAGAAGTCATGAAATAATTCAATGTTGGGTCTTGTCCGTCACCTCCTATCCACAATGGGTTGCCAATGTCGTTCTCGTGCCCAAAAAAGACGGCAAGGTATGAATGTGCATGGACTACATAGATTTCAATAGGGCAAGCCTTAAGGATGATTTCCCACTTCCCCACATTGACATCTTAGTTGACAATACTGCACAACACAAAGTATTTTCCTTCATGGATGGTTTCTCAGGTTACAACCAAATCAAAATGGCGTATGAGGACATGGAGAAGACAACCATTGTCACACAATGGGGGACATTTTGCTACAAGGTGATGCCGTTTGGACTGAAGAATGCTGGGGCAACCTATCAGCGTGCCATGGTAGCTCTATTTCACGACATGGTACATCACGAAATTGAGGTCTATGTGGACGACATGATAGCTAGATCTCAAACAGAAGAAGAGCTTCTTGATCATTTACAGAAATTGTTCGAGAGATTAAAAAAGTACAAGCTGAGGTTAAACCCAAATAAATGCACATTTGGGGTAAGGTCTGGTAAGCTCCTAGGCTTTGTCGTCAGCAATAAGGGTATTGAAGTAGATCCTGCCAAGGTGAAAGCAATACAAGAGATGCCTTCTCCTCGTACTGAGAAGGAAGTCATAGGATTCTTGGGACGCTTGAACTACATTTCCAGATTCGTTTCTCACCTGATAGCTACCTGTGAACCAATCTTCAAACTACTGAAGAAAGATCAGGTAGTCAAATGGAATGATGAGTGCCAAATTGCTTTTGACAAAATAAAAGAGTATTTGCAAGAGCCTCCTATTTTAATGCCACCAGACGAGGGAAGACCATTGATCATGTATATGACCGTTTTGGAAAATTCAATGGGGTGTGTGTTGGGGCAGCATGACGAGTTTGGCCGAAAAGAGCACGCCATTTATTACCTAAGCAAAAAGTTTACTGACTGTGAAACAAGATATTCATTGCTCGAGAAAACTTGCTACGCTCTGGCATGGGCTGCTCGCCGGCTAAGACAGTATATGCTGACCCATACTACCTTGTTGATATCTAAAATGGATCCAATAAAATACATCTTCGAGAAACCTGCTCTCTCGTGGAGAATAGCGAGATGGCAGATGATCCTAACAGAATATGACATACAATATACTACCCAGAAAGCTGTAAAGGGCAGTATACTAGCTGATCACCTTGCTCACCAAGCTGTGGAAGACTACCAGTCCATGAAGTTCGAATTCCCGGATGAAGATATCATGATGGTAAACAATTGTGAAGAATTCAGGCCATATGATGGACCTGAACAAGGATCCCGATGGACCCTGGTTTTTGATGGGGCATCTAACGCACTCTGCAATGGTATTGGTGCAGTACTCATATCTCTTGAAGGGTGTCATACTCCATTTACTGCAAGACTCTACTTCAATTCTACAAATAACATGGCGGAATACGAAGCGTGCATCTTTGGTCTCAAAGCTGCCATAGACTTGGGGATCAAATCATTGAATGTATTCGGAGATTCAGCTTTGGTTATCATCCAGATCAAAGGGGAATGGGACACCAAACACCCTAACCTTATCCCTTACAAAGAACATGTTTTGACATTGCTCCCACATTTTGAGAATATTACCTTCGAGCATTTCCCGCGAGAAGAAAATAAGCTAGCAG